ACGCCGCAATGAGCGGGAATCTACTGGAAAGTTATAAGATGACCATTTGTTGAAGCAACCTGAATAAGTTCTGTGATTTCTATTGCCAAGCTGTAATACGGACCTTGCTTCATGATGCAATTAATGGTTTGCAAAGTGGGTTTGGCATCACAGAAAATTGTCCAGGCTCGCGGTCGCTCTCCGGAAATAAATCTTATTGCCTCCCGGATAGCGACAAGCTCTGCGGCAGTTGATGTGGTTTTATGGTCCACTTTGAATCGTCGAGCGATAGACATGTCTGGGATGACAAAGGCAGCGGCGGAGGTGTTTAGCGTGGTGGATCCGTCGGACGACACGTGCAGAGAATCACTGTACGTTGTATCAATGTGATATATGGTCAGTTGTCTGAAGGCCAACAGAAGAAATGAGCGACTTCTTCGTAATTCCAGGTATCGCAAAAGAAACAGGTGGTTTAGGCAGGACCCATGGAGGCACTGCAGCGGCATTTGGCGGAGAAAACCTGGATGGTATAATATTTTCATGCTGCGATATTACTCTTGAGAAACTGCAATCTGGGTGAGTGGCGGGTAGTACTGACAGTGGGTGCTGTCTGTGTCTGCTCAGTAATCGGAGGTGAACTCTAAGTGGCTAGCAGAGCATGTATACACTGATGGGACAAGCCCGAGCCTCTGTGATTATCCCATTTGTTGAAGTACAGCACGGTAGACCCAAGCATCTTCGTAAGCATTGAGCTTGAACACTCTCTAGCGTCTTCACACAACTAGGTCTCATATTGGAGACCACCGGAATGCTGTACCGAATGTATCCCACAAATAGAGTACGACAATAACCAGTACTCTGGAGAGTCGCACTCGCCGATCTTATTAAAATGCATTAGCAGCCGAGCTAGACTAATTGCTTTCGTATACGTCGTTTCCGGCATACGTAGAAACACTTACACTTGTGCTTACAATGACCGGAGAAACCACACTTTCAGAACATGCATGCCATACACGCACATCGAAACGCGAAGTGGCTAGCAGACGACGTACGGAGCAATCTACGCTTGGCCACTTCAGCAAGTTGCCGCCAGGCGGCGACTGTGCTTGATCTCGTGGCCAATTGTGACACCAGACAGCCACAAATGCATCTACATAGTGGATGTTGAGGTGATGATGCATATAAATCACGGCCATGCACAAGACATGAAGTATGCTTTCTCACATATTATCGAGATTTTAACCATTACGAAGTGGGACAACTGTGGGATAAAAAAAACGAAGTAAAATACTCATTTTACCCCATATAATGGGCGAGTTACACAGAAGGACAAATGCGAGAGCAGTTGTGCTGAGATGAATCAAGAAGTGCCAAGCTATCAATAGAACCGCTACAGTTCAACAACTGTCATCGAAGGACCATTCTAAGAACAGAGGGGCGGAAGGAAACAATGGGATTTTATGAATAAACAATGTATTACAAGACAAACACAAAGTATGCTGACTCACCTCTTCCGTCTGTTACCACGTCGCATGCTCCCATGGTTAGCTCGAAAGGTCCTAGAGCGACCATCGCATCATTACGCAGAGGCTTGAAATTTGCCACCACGAAAACCATCTGCGTGTTGTAAATGGTTGATATAGTGAATACAGCGAAATTGTGTTTCTTGTCAATGCGAGAAAAAAATTAGGAAGTGTTTCGACTGCGACACACCTCACTATCTCACACTCTCACTTTCACTCATCTCACGATCTCAGTCATCTCACAGTCATAAAACAAAACAGGTCACGTGGTCAAAATATTTAAAATAAGAAAGACATATAAAAAAACGATTGTCTTGCCTGAATTTTACGAAGCTGTCACCTTGGAACTTGCAGATCGCCTATCATGAAATATCCATTTGCTGTAGGTATGGTTTTATCTAAATTTGTTTTAGGAAGAATTCACAAGTGAGTGAGCATATAATATTACACGTTATGAATTTTATTCCTAAGAACAGCAGTTAAGATTGGGAGGATGGATGAAATTCTGATGGTTGAGATGACCACGACGACACGTTGAATGACTGGACAGGCCCGGTTGCTTACTTCTTGGGAAACTTCTGTTTATTTACACAATGACACTAATTTACAAACAAAGGCTGGGGCAGCCACTAAACCGACCGCGCAGTAGGCACTGGGCTGTATTAACATCCGCGTTACTTGCCAAGCCCTTCGTATACATCACACATCGACACCATCGTCTCGATGCAGTATCAACCTTGGACCAGAGTTGGCGCTAAGCACGACCTCTGTCCTTACCGCCGGATTTCAAGCTGAACGGTTGTGCCACCCGCGATCTCCGACGCCAGCATAGCTCTCGCCAACTGATTCGCTCTCCGCGACCTCCTGACGGCGTGCAGCTTTCACCGTGTGGTGCCCCGTCCTCGGACTTCGTCGACCGGCCCCCTACTTTCCCATCTTCGTTTTCTGTCGCTTGTCTGTCTTATTTTTTGTCGCTTGCCTGTCTTATTGTGACAGCACGGCGCCACATTATCTTGTTGGGAGCGGTGTCGCGACAGGCACCACTTATTTCTCAGTCTGGCTCATCTTGAGAACGCTGCCACCGTGCGGGTGAACAAAAACTCACGGGGTTTGGCGACAAAGGTGGGTTCAGAGGAGAACGGCTTAGTCCGCGTCTGGGCAGCGTCTTTTCATTAACTTCCTTTTTTGTTAGGTGTCGTGTACAGACTGGCCATCATTCGCGTGCACCAAACATATCTACAGCTGAATTACACATGGAGAGAAAAGAAAACAGAAAGAGAGTCACTGACACCTACTATAAAGATGATTTAACACATGGTGATGTCTTGCACATTCAGAAAAATGTTGTGCACAGCATATTTACCATGCAAGGCGTGCAAATACTCAAATATGAGGAACTTTTCATTATGCGGCTTGTATGGTTTGGCACTCACTTGATTTCAAAATAAGAATTAGGCACTCAAATTTTTAAAACACGAGTACTTTAAACCCCATTTCGAACATGTTTAGTGACACTGAAATGTTATTCGGTTAGCATGGCGAAAAATTTCTAAGACTTAACAAGACAAACTTCACTTTTTGGTCTTTTTTTTTAGTTAACGGGCCCGCACTATCGGCTAAGCTTCCCCAGCGGCCCCGCTTAGCACTGCTGCCACCGCCATTCCTGTGTGATCCAAAAACTTATATTTCTATTCTACAGTAGGCGGCCTTGGCCAGCACCTCTCAGTTGATCTAAATACTCACGATGCAAAAGCGTTTACACCCTGCCAAGCACTCCAATTTTCCGTTCTTCTTGCTTTTCGCATGTTGCCGCAGCCGGATGCTTATTGCCGCCAGAATGTGTCCCCGTTATCTTCGTGTTCGCACTCATTTCATCATCACGAATCGGTAGTCATAACTGTGCGTCAATCAGAAAGCCACAAAACTGAAGGTCTTTTAATCTTTTAAAATGAAAGAAAGCTGTATCAGCAAGTGAAAGAGGGCCGCCACTTTGTCACAATCATCGAAATATCATGGACGACTTTTCTATTTTTATTAATTTCTTACTGTGAAGTATATGGTCTGTTTAATTCATAACCAGCAGAGAAACACTTGATGTATCGGTATCAGAGTTTACATGACTAAGCATCCTGAACTCCGGACTTCTTTGTTACCGGAAGTAAGTATATCGCATACCCATAGCTCAGTATTGCCGGCGCCATAATGCAGCAACAGGGAACCAATAATTCACCACGGCTGGGCATTATCGCGATAAGCGTATCACGATAATATCTTAGAGATACATTTGAGTAGCTGTGTAAGATACACTTGACAAATGTATTTGGATATTTGTAGTTAAATACTTTTATCATATATCTACCATATCGTGGCACTGTGCAAGATGTGCAGGAAATAGACATTACTTTTTCCAGAAACGAGCTGAGGTGTTCTCAGCTTGTGAAAAGAAGAACTCGTTTTGCTAAGGCTCGTCACTCTTGGGCGGTACATGGAGGTTGATGAATGGTTGCTCAAACCCACACAATTACCCAAGTCAGTGCGGGAGGGTGTCAGTACCTATGTGACGCGGGAACAGATATCATCGTGCTACAGCACCTTCCTGCTTTGAAGGTGGTATTTTACGTTTCTCAATTGGAGCTCTTTCATTGAGGCTGAAATGACGCGGTCTGTACAGCAGCCTACTTAGCATGCTGCAGTTCATTTGGCGCAGCACTATTATCAGGTCACTTATTTCACTAAGTAATGCGTACACTCTTTCTTCATTCACCGGTTCTCGTAAGTGACGTGATATTTGCTTCGGCAGGAACGTTTGATTGGTTTGCAACAGTACTCACGAGATCCACGCCACGCTGTACCAATGAAGTATTTGGCATCAACATCCTCTATACATCAATAATACTCAAGTATCTGTATTCTTGTATTTGTGTACCTGTATTTCGGAATACTTTCTACATCTTTTTGAAAGTACCTCTGGAATATCACGTTAGGTCAAAAACAAATGTATCTTGGTATCTGTATGTTAAGTTTACTGCACATGTATTTCAATTATTGTATTCCTGAATATCGTCAGGATATCTCTGCCCCGCCCCATATTCAACCGATAAGGAACCTCTGCGATAATGAATATCGCACGCAAACTCTTAGTGCCAGCTGAAAAACATATTTCAGATGGACTCCTCTTGCTTCATAACAAAACACAATGTGCGCGGACTATTCGGAATCCCATCTTGGAACTTCGCAGATCCGCGGCTTGTCAAATGTTATGACCTAGAGCATGGTTTCCGGAATTTAGAAACCCGCGTTCAAGAACATCCTGCGGCTACTCCTTCAACGTGCGACTAAGGCCTCCGGCATAGCCAAGAGGGTAGGGGGATAGGGTGCATTGTATTTTTTTACATTTTCTCGTTTTGGCGGGCATATATTCACACACACGCACATATACATGCACGCCCAACTCTTCCTATTGTATGTATGAAAAAAAACTGTGGTTACAGCTTTTTTTGGTAAGATAATTTAGGCACAATCAGGTCTTGCGTCATCATGCTAAATGTGATGGTACATCTAAAAATCCAAAATGACATGAAAGGCACAAAAACTTTATATTCAAAAATGACGGACTCGTGGTCACGGTGATTTTTAGCTTTCCCGGCAGTTTTTCTTGCGATTGACCACATTTAGGAGCCACTTCTCTGAGAGTGTATGTGTATGCAGTTTTCTCGAAAATTCCTTTAATTATTCAAAAAACTATGATGAAACTTTTGTGCTTAATGCATGTCACTCTTGTTGCATTTGAAATGCATAGTAAGACTATTCATTTCAAAAGTGGGGCTGTTTCAGCGGCTGGCAACTGCTTAAAATATGGCGCAACTGGGCGAAACGAAGCTAAGCTACTATAATCATGTTTAGTATAGTCTAAAGAGAGTGGGAAAAGAAGTGAGCTTGAGAATGACTGATGCTGTGCTAACACGAGGTGAAGTGGGAGAATGAAGCGTAAGCACTAGCTCTGTCAAATATAGTACAGTGTACTCACACTTATGAGAGAAAAGGACAGTAAGCGTGAGGAAGGGTTATGTGAGTATGATGAGGAGAATAAGCAGGAGGGGAGAAGGTAAGCCTTAGCATAGCCAGTATAGCACCACAAGGCGGTGAGAAGGAGAAGTGAGGACGAGTAGGAGCAAAGGGAGAAGGGGGGGGGGGTAACGCACAGCCTAACATTGTACAATAACAGTAGGGGAGAATGTTAGCCACAGTAAAGCTATGTACAGTATAGTACAGCAAGGCGGTGGGAAGTGAAATCGAGAACTAGAAAGATGAAATGGAGGATGGCGAGAGTGCGAAGCAGAGCTTCACACTGTACACTCAAAGGAGGAGAGAAGGTAAGCCCTAGCATAGTGAGAGAGAATATGTTAGAAGGCAGAGAGGTCGGAAGCCATAGCACAACCATGTACAGTGTAGTACAGGAAGGCGGTGGGAAGAGAACGTGAAAAGAAGGAAAGGGACACAAGGAAAGGGTATACCAGAGTATACCAATGTACACTTACAGGAGGAGAGAAGAAAAGCCATAGCATAGACATGTACAGTATAATACAGCAAGCAGTCAGAAGAGAAATTGAGGATAAGGATGGGGAAAGGAAGGAGCGTACAGGGTAAAGCAGAACCTAACACTGTAAACTAACAAGAGGGGAGATGATAAGCCTTAGCATAGCCATATACAGTATAGTACAGCAAAGGTGTGGGAAGATAAATCGAAAACGAAGAGAAGGAAAACGAAGAAGAGAGAGGGTAGACATATTGAAACACTGTAAATAAACAGTGGGGGAGAACTTAAAGCCTAGCGTCGCATTATATAGTATAGTACAGAGAGGCAGTGGGAAAAGAGTCGAGAGCTGACCCGTGGCGTCATGGGGTAGTAATGTGATTTTTGTTTTCATAACGCAGAGCCACTGGTATGTGGCACTATAGGGTTGTTAAGCGAAACATAGGAAACACCCGTTTTTGCTTCATAGTGTTGCATTGTCAGTGCAGCATAATAAACATAGCAGTCTTGAGAATCACATATCTATGCATATTTAACAAAGAAAGACACTACACCTATGCGCCTCAGTTATGCTTGATATTTGCTTTCTGATTGACAGTGTTCACTAGCATGAATGCATCTACGGGATGAAGGTGGGTGGGCGTTAGCAAGGGGTTGAACTTTCACCGGGCGGCTACATCGTTGGACAGACAGACAGACAGACAGACAGACAGACAGACAGACAGACAGACAGACAGACAGACAGACAGACAGACAGACAGACAGACAGACAGACAGGTGGATGGACAAACATACATACAGAGAGGCCAAAATTTCTTTAACTAGCCCAAGGAAAACTATCCTTTTTAAAATGTACGCTCCACCTAGTGAACGGTGGCATGCTGGCCTATCACCTACGAAAGACAGACATGCTAACTGATTTCCGCTTGATCAGCAACTACTTTTTTGTCTAATGTAACCACTACTAAAAGTAATAGTTAAAGTACCATCATTCGTACCTCAAATGTATTGTTTAGCTGAACAACAATAAAAAATCTATGACAAAATTTACTTAAGCGTTCAAGTTTCAGGACTAAAATTGGCGATACCAAGATGTGCAGGCCTGGGAAAGCCAACTATAAGAAAAGATTTAGTGACGCTTCATCCTTATAAGTTGTTTGTTGTTTTAAGTTGGACATCTAAATGGCAACAAGAAACTATCGTTTCAACTGGACCAGCCATCAGTTTAAAACCGTACCCGTTAGGAAAGTGATTCACGTCACATCAATGAGTAAGCGCTATCGTATAGCTTATTTATGCATCTTATCTGGATTGTTGATAAAATTCACCCAATATATATATATATATATATATATATATATATATATATATATATATATATATATATATATATATATATATATATATATATACATGTTTTTTGCTGTGCTGTTTTTAAGATAGCCTGATGAAGGGTCTCCTCATGCAAATGAACGATGCAGTTGTACAGCCATGATATACCTTGTTATGAACGCTATCCAAGCTCAGTGTCCTTCGGACGTTGTACCATCGGTCGGCTGTGGTGCGATGACGTTGCAGGAAAAGCACCATGGTTTTTTTCAACCCGCCCGCCATGGGAGACTTATTTAGGGTCAGTTGCAGCCAAATGTCACGACCACCGAACATGTGATACCAAAAGGAGAAGCAGGCTGGTTCTGACTGGGGTCCAACCATTGGTGATTGAAGCGCCGCTGCCCCTTGTAACTTCGCCAGACGTGACCCTGTTATGTAGGCTATGCTTCCTGAGTAAGAAATACAACAGGAATTGAAAATTAGAGTTGAAAAACGATGGCAGAAGACGCATTAAGCCGTATTTGATAAAAGCACGAAGTGCCTCTTGGGCTCTCTTATATTAAGGCTGCTGCATCTAGATACCAAATTGTAATCTCACTTTTCATTAGTATAGAAGATTCATAAAGTTGGTTTGTCCTTGCTAAGCTGGGACAGTGCAACAAGCATAGGCATTTTCAGGGCAGCATAATAAACATTGCAGTTTTGAGAATTACCCTCGACTGGAACTTCGACCTCCATCCGGACTTTGTCGACGTGAAGCTTCGCTTTTTTGTCACCTTCTGGTGGGGGTTGCCTTCACAAAAGCCTATACAACCCTCATTGGATGGACCGACAATGTGGAATGCGACGTCTGCGGCATTGAAGAAGACATCGACAATCTGATATGCCGTTACCCTCGATTTGCCAGTGAAAGACAGAACCTTCCGGACACATTGCGACAATTAGATGATCGCACACTCTCTATGCAGATACTACTGGAACGCCGTCCTCGCCTTTCGTGGGCTCAAAAAGCAGTCAAAGCCGTCTTGTGCTTTCTGAATACTACAGGCCTATGTAAACACCTTTAACTTTTGTGTAGTGCCACCGCTGCATACGCGTCAGCCCATTGACTGAATATCTTTTTTTCTCTCTTTCTCTTCTTTTTCTTCTCTCTCTCTCTCATCTTTATGCCCCCTTCCCATTCCTCCAGCGTAGGGTAGCAAACGGGGCATGTGCCTTGTTAACCTCCCTGCCTTCTCTCTTGTTGTTCTGGTCCTCCTATTCTGTCCTTCAGGGCTCCCCATAAGGAGGAAGGAACGAATGTTTATCGTAAACACGTTCTTCTCACTGAGTGAAAAAATGGGGCAGCTTAAGTGGCCCACTCTTCTTTAGGCAACTACAGGTTGGGGTCCTCCCAAAAGGAAGTAACGCTCATTCTAACTTGAATGCCCGTATTTTTTTTCTTACGTGTGTTTTTTTAGCTATGTTCGTTTACTCATTTTGTTCATTTACTATTGCTTTCGAAAATCGAGCAATACAGAAGATCCTCAAAAGGACCCTCATCGGTAAATAAACTGCTTTAAATGTTCAAAGGGAGTGCCTTCGTCTGTGCCAAATGCTAGCCAACTATAAGATAACAACAAGCAGTATACAACAGCACGCAACAAAAATCAGTGTTTAGCCAAAGCTACCCAACATTAACTACTACTAAGTGCGCCCGGTGCACTCTCACTTCTCCCTCTAGGTCGCGTTTCTGGGAAGTTTTTAATTTTTTTATTCAAGATTCATATTTTAGCCCTTATGCCGTCTTGAATATCTTTACATATTTTAGTTCTGATGACCATGCATTACACGGAGGGATGCAGTACCACCGAGAGCGAAAGAGGAGATACAAACCGAACGCCAACGTTCAACTATAACTTGAAATTGTGACGATGTATAGAAGTGAAACAGTGTCTGTGTCTCCTCTCACAGTCTTTGTCATGTGGCACAGCTCCGTTTAAGGTATCCCAGTCAACTAAACCTGTCCTTGAAATTTTTATATAGAAACGTAACTGACTGGAAGTTTTTTTTCTTTCTTTTTAACTTTTAGCTCGCATACTAGTCTTTTCAGTCGAACTCAATATCTCCTTCGAAGACTCTAGCTTAACTTTGCATTACACACCTCGCGTTAAAACAGGTTTACATCTGCCATCGCGTGACGCCTGCGATCATCTCATCGGTTTGAATAACGCAAAGAGCGCACAATATTCCGGAAAATTGAACTTGTGCAGCGCTTTGATCCCGAAGATAAGTTGAGGTGAATATCACCATTTACCATACTGTGTTTCGTTGGGCACGTCGGCTTCTTCTGGAGTCTATTTGTGCGCAAGCGGACAACTTCTTGCCATCCTTCTGGTTGTAATAAGCCAGCATTGATCTTACGCTGTCGTTACTGGTAAGATGTCGAATTCTCTCGGACTCTTATAGTTTCTCCCAATAACAACCTGGTTCTTTTGGCTTCTGTACAGCTCTCTGTGGAAATCCTCCGCCATATCGGCTATCCTATTCTTTTTAGTTTTGACATTGCTCTCCTTGTTTCACAACGCATACATTCAATTTTCGCCTATGCAGAAGTCTGCCTTCGCAGCTCTTAGGCTTCTGCCACTTTTTACAGCCTGCTCAATTCCTTACATGTTATACCTCCTGATGTCGGCTACTTTACGCCTATTTATTAACTTCGGAAGCTCTAGTATATATTTTTTGTCGGTTGAATTTGAGGCCTTCGTCATATGTCGTCTCTTATTAAGATTTTTCATCTCCTGAAATAGTTTGCCAATTTTCCGTCTAGTGACTGAACCTCCAACTTCAATTGCACACGCTTTGATGGCACTAGTAATATTACCGTTCATTGTTTCAACGCTAACGTCGGTTATCTCATTTAGTGGCTCGAATCAATTCTGAAGCAAAACTCTGAATTCCTGTATTTCTCCTCTCACCGCCAGTTTATTTTTTAGCTTCTTGCGTATGAGTTTTTGTCTTTGCTTTTTTTAAATCTAGGTGTATACAAGCTCTTACCGTTTTATGGTCACTTAATCTAATCTTGCCAACTAATTCTACATCCCTAAAAAATGAAAGCCCTAGAAGGAATGCAAAGAGACAAAGCCGCTGGTGAGGATAAAGTAACAACGAACCTCCCGAAAGATGGAGGATAAATTGTGTTAAAAAAATTAGCCACGTTATATAAAAAAGTGTCTCTTGACGGCAAAGGTACCGGAATCTTGGAAGAACGCCAACATCATCTCAATCCATAAGAAAGGAGATGTCAAGGACTTGAAAAATTACAGGCCATTCAGCTTACTATATACCCGTTCTCTACTATATATTTACATATATAATAGCCAATAGAATTAAGATGATATTAGAGCTCAATCAGCCGAAGGATCAAGCAGGAGTTTGTACCAGTTACTCCACAATACACCATATTCCTACTATGAATCAGATAATAGAGAAATGTGCTGAATGCAACCAACACCTATACATAGCTCTTATAGATTATAAGAAGGCGTTTGACTCAGTCGAGGCATCAGCGCTCATGCAGGCACTACGGAATCAGGGCATCGAAGCACCCTACATAAACATACTGGAAGCACTCTACAGAGGATCCACAGCCACCATACTTCTCCATAAAGAAAGTGAAAAAATTTCAATAATGAGGGGTGTAAAGCAGGGAGACACGGTCTCTCCAATGCTATTCACCGCGTGTTTACAGGAGGTGTTTAGGAGCCTAGACTTGTAAGAGTTAGGGATAAGAGTTAATGGAAAGTACCTTAGTAACCTGCGGTTCGCTGATGATTTGGTTTGATGAGTAACTCATGGGACGAATTACAGATCAGGATTACTGAACTGGACACGGAAAGCAGAAAAGTAAGTCTGAAAATTAATATGCACAAACCTAAAGTAATATGCAAGAATCTCGGCAGAAAACATCACTTTGTCATACGTGGAGAGGCACTTGAGGTTGTTAAGGAGTATGTCTACTTATGACAGGTAATAACCGTGGAGCCGAACCACGAGACAAAAGTAACTAGAAGAATAAGAATGGGGTGGAGGATATTTGCCAAGCACTCTCTTTTCATGACAGGTAGATTGCCATTATTGCTCAAGAGGAAGCTATACAACTGCTGCATCTTGTTGGTTCTTAGCTACGGAGCAGAAACCTGGAGACTTACAAAGGGGGTTCAGCTAAGAAATTTAGGTGGGCCGATGAGATAAAAAAGTTTTCATGTATAACGTGGCAACAGAAAGCACAAGACCGGGTTGATTGGCAGATCTTGGGAGAGGCTTTTGCCCTGCAGTGGGCGTAGTCAAGATAATGATGATAATGATCATCATCATCGTCGTCATCATATCATTTTACGCTTGAATTATGAATTAATTTACTGTTAAAAACAAGCAAGGCCTTTGAGAAAGGGGCGCACCACCTGTCGCCGCTAGGTAGCGCGTACACAAAACACTTTCCATATCAAATTTGTCAGCACAGTCCAACATACGCACGTTAAAACGTGGACGATGATGTGCATACGTTGTTACCATTCCCGTGATATCAGGATCAAAAACACATGCTGATAAGAGATTTACTGTCACTCGAGTGTTAGCCCCTGACTCTTCGAAAAATCCTAGGAATATGTTAAGTATACCTGGTTGCCCTTTGTGAAGTTTTTTTTTTTCACTACAGTGCTTTTTACATATAATTTTATCCGTGAATATGATCAGCTGATGCTATACAAAGGTTAACATAAAACTCTCGCTACAGACAGTCAGCATATTCCTTGTAGGAAAAGGTAGTGTACTCAGAAATTATTCGAAACAACTGGCCAGACTAATTTTACACACATGAATTGACCTGACTGCGTAGCGCTTTGGGTCACTACTGTTCAAATTCATTCTGCGTCTTTATGACAGAGAATTTTATATTTTAGTGCTGCCAAGTGATGTGACGTAGTGTGCTGTTCTTTTAAAACATGAACGTATGGTTTTCGTGTAATTTCTTTTTATTGGAACTAACTTGTTACGAGACGGTACAGTATACTATGTGTTTTTCGTCGTAATATGTTAAGGCACGATGTGACTGAATCATGTGACTGCTCTTTATGAATCTATTTTGCACTACTCTGCTTTACAAATATCCTTTCATTAGTGAAAATGAATGGCCCAATGCTATACAAAGGTGCCGACACTTTCTATATAGTATATTACAATAAAAGTCACCTTTCTCGTTGTACCAATACACAATTCACTTTTTGAGCCATTTAAAATATTTATGCCTAATCTTGGGACGTACGTCAAAAACTAATAAAAACAGACTACAAAAACAGACTACAGTAGAATTCGTATTCCTTTAAATGAATTTCTCAAATAGCATCCAGCCTGGCTTTGCCGTGATACATTCATAACAATGCCACTATTACTTTCGTTTATGGTGACGCTCTCTCCCTCACTTTTTTTATACGTAACAGCCCGACAGGATCCTTTCAACTGAAAAACAACTTATGAAGACGCTGACGACGATACTAATTCTAGATGAAGTGCACTTATAATTGCGTCAAAATGGGCGCGCTGTGAAGACATCAAATCAAGTATTCATAACTGCACACCTTTCGTTGTATCTGCTGGATATGAGCGAGGGCCCAGGCTAGAGGACCGGTTGATCCCAAACACCCATCTTGACGTTGAAGCGCCCATTGAAGACCATTTGCAGAAGTTCCAGTCATAGAAGTCACAGCTTATCAGCTCCGCTGCAGTAGATTACGTGAATGTTTTTAGGTAAGCGTCATGGCGTAATTACTTTTCACTGATGCACACCGACACAGAGTGACTTCATGAGCGCCAGAGCAGGCAGCGTCTCACTTTGAGTGCATAGCTCTCCAGCCATGAGGCGAAATTTCAGTGAGATACCATGTCACGTTCGGTTTGATGTTATTGTTGGAGAAGCGAGAGTTTACCGCAATTCGTTGCTTTTAGCTCCTATTCAAGTAGTTCATCGTATGGGCGTTGCGAAAACTTGTTACTAGAGTCATTAAGTGATATGTGTTCGGCTTTACCTTACAATTTAAGTACGAGCGTTTGCTGCGATGTATTAGGCTAATAGAAAACCAGAAACCTTGCTTTGTATAACTATTTACTGCTATGCTATGGAAGTGCGCACTCTATATTTGGGTGAACTGTAGTTTTTCTAAAAGTAAAACTTGTAAGTGAAACCGTATGAGCTATGCAGCGATGATGACTGAAGAGGGCAGTAAAGTGCAGCATGCTCACTGCTAAGTTTGGTATTTCGGTAAATCATTGTTGCATGATTTCCCCATGTGAAACATTACCAACCTAGCTCTATATAGGTGTTGAAATATAGAGCTCTTATGAATCACATAGACAAAATAGGGCTCTTGTTTTTCCTTGTCCTTAGCTGAAGACTTCGTTCTTATTGTTGGTTGGGCCGATTGTTAGAAATATTATGGCTTATAACCATTGTTATAAAGATATGATTAACAATGAGTTACAAAGTGGCGTAGCAATTCCGTCCCATTTTCAAAGACGAAGCACTCACATGCAGAGAGAGCCTCGCTGTTTTTTGGGAAGGTGTCACAACGATCACGGTGCACAATGGCGATGTCATCAAGTGCGACGAATGCTGGCGTTGAGGCAGGACCAACCGTCGCCCGGAATACCACCTTGTAAATCATAAGAAAAAATCACGTTACCTGCTGTTTTTTTTTTGCTTTATGCTGTAAATGCAGTCTCTTAAGGGGACACAATTCAAAGACAGCTCTGACAACGTATATTTTCAGAAGTGCAATTATTCTAAACATTTGGAATCTAACGAATCTGATACATCAAAAGCGTTCATATTTGTTGTTCATGTAAATACTCTAGATAATGTGAAATATAACTGTGCGCGTTTTCCTATCGTACAGTAAATGAATCGGCAGTACGCAATTTTTCTAACAGGCGTTGAGATTATCCTAAGAAATGTAGAGCCTTAAGCGGACCTAGAGCGTCGTCAGTTTTACTGTCAGAATTTGCCTATGTTTCCCATACAGCTGATAAATCAAGTCTTCTCTCAAATCTCCCAAACAATCACTGATCTGCGGCTTCGCAACCATCTTCGAGCTAGCTTTGAATATTTTCTTGTAGCCTGCTACCTAATGTGCAACACGTCACCTTCAAAACTAAGTAAAATATTTTGTGGCCGTATATGGAATTATTTCAGCATCTGAACGAAAAGTGTCGATAATTTAAAAGTTCTTATAACGCGTAGATAGTTTGCGGCTCTATTATAATAAATAGTATATGTTAATAGTCATAAACATCAAGAATTTTATTATGGCAATAACTTTTAATGTTTCTTTCATCAGCATTATTCAGCTGGGATGTTCATTGATTAATAAAGGGCCAAAACGGTTCGCACTTGAAGAGAAACCAAATCTTTCGAATTAAGACAAAGAGTGGAGATAAACACATTGAAATAGTAAGATACGAAGTAAACAGCGTAGCGAATATATCAATCTAGAATGCGGAGGAGTGCTGGATGCATAAGGTACCTTAGAATTAAAACTTTAGACCATTATCGAGCAATCTCAATCTCAAACCTGCCTGACATACACACTGTTTATATATATATATATATATATATATATATTTACTCATAGGTCTACTGTGGAAGCCCACCAGGAGGCGGAAGGGTTAAGAAAAAAAAACACATGACAACCAACCGATTCCTGGTGCCGGATTTCAACTCCGAACCAGAATGCATTTTTTACTAACTGAGAGGCTTTTCTTTCTTGTGGCTTCGTGCTTAAATTGCCTGGTTGTCTTCTTTCCCTTTGTTAACGAAAAAAAGAAATTTCAAACTCTTGCCGAAGAGTGTCCGGTGAACTGATATCTACTGTGCGAAGAATGTTGTTGAACATTTTTACAGAAAACTTCTTGGCATTTTCTACGAGGTACGGCTCGACGCACAGAATAGACATTGTGAACCTTATCGCACCTGTGTGAAATATTTTACTCTCACCCTATTCCCGTGGGGCACAGCGATACGTCCCAACTGCCATTCTGAGGACTCCCCACTCTTCTGTTTCCACAAAGGAAGACGATCGTGTTCCATCTCAGTTGGGTTTCGAGTTATCACCTGCAAGAAAGAGCATTTAAAGGCAAGAAAAAATAACGTCAGCCCTATATGTAGCCCTGTTGACTCAATATTGAATGCAAATGTCACAAGAATTTCATGCGCCTCTCAGTAGTATCGCCTTACGTCTTTTTTCTACTTTTACAATGCCGTTACGTTCTAATGGTCAGCAGGATACAGACACTGATAAGAAGTAGATAATAATGTGATTTTTTTAACGGGAAAAGCAACTATCGTTTCTTATCTGTATTCAATAACACCACCATACCATTTGAGATGGCTTGTGTCAGTTATTGCTACTCTAGACTCAGCAAAATCCCTACCGATCATTGACAATTGTTCACATAAAAATAAAGCACCACTGAGATAATAACAGTTACGCAGTTGTAAAGTTCCCGCATCATCGCACTTTACCAGGCCTGGTTGGAATGTACAGTGCAGAGCGAATTCCATAGTTCTCAATAACATGACCTCCGTAGTGTTGCTAGCAAGGCATTACATAAACTTCATAAAATACATAACTATATCGAATTACACATAGTAATGTAGTGTATATAGTAAACGAAGCATCACCAAGTGCTATATGTCGTATAAAGCAAAACCTTCGTGACCAAATCACGTGAAACACAACATGTCTCATACCTGTTTTTTCTTAACTATTGGCCATCTATATTACTTAGGTACCTGTAAGAAGACAGCTTTACAAATAGCCTCACTAGCATGCATACACCCCATTGTCACAGAACGAGCGCTAAACAAGAGCGCGCCGCCAAATACTTGCGACAACGGGCGGCAGAAACGCCGCGAGGTAAAAAGAAAAAAAAAGAAAGCAAACATCCAGGGCTCCCGGGCGCGCGCTCTCCCCGCAGAAGCATGGCTTCGCAGACGATCCTCCTCACCCCACATCAACGGCCCAGCAAGACCGCGATTTTTCTCGAACGAAGGAGGCGGGGTCAGACCGAGTGAATCATCCTCGGGAGAGGGCAGTCGAACCGTCTCGTGCCTCTCCCCAGCCTTCGCTGCGTATCGCGCCGACGAAATGACGAGAAACATCTGGAAAGTCGCGCGCAAGGTATTTGACCGAGCAGCCGAGACGAGAAATCAGGAGGTGACGGAAGTTAACGCCAGAGCGCGTAGGAATTCCGCCGTGTAGTCGGCGAAGGTTCTGCCCGTAGTGACAGAACAGGAGGAGACGGAAGTGAGCGCCAGAGTGCGTAGAGAGTCCGCCGTATAGTCGGCGAAGTTTGTGGTCCGTAGGGACGGCTCGAGCTACAGGCAAGAGTGTGTGTTTACCGCTATCGAGCGAAGACCCGTGGCAACCGCTGCGAGTGTGAAGCCGACGTGTTCCGGCGAAGAAGTTGAAGTTTGAAGAGTGGCCAATTGAAGACGGGAGGTTTCCTGGAAGAGAACTTCGAGAGCTGCGGAACGACAACAACGCTGGACTTTGAGTGAGTGATTCTCGGAAGAGTATCATTCAGACTTTTGTTCCAAGGACTTTGGACTGAATAGGTTTTATATCTCTTTAGTCTTTAAGTGTCTTGGTTGTTCAATGCATGCGACTGCATTGTAGTGCGTATTGTTGTCTGTGTCCGTTGTTTCAAGTGTGGTTGATTGTACTGTGTAGTACATTGTCTGTTTGGTGACGTATTGTATGTAACTATTGTGGAGTGTGCATACGTGTGTATTGTTTTTGATCTGCCGTTAATGAGAATATAATTTTGTTTGTTTATCAACTCTCGGCTCTGTCTTGTTCTTTGGGCCACAGCCGGCGTCCGCTGGCGCACCAATAAGGACCACTTCTAAATTGTCCACGCTTTCGTGGTGCTGTTCGGGGGGCCGATACTTCGGCTCTTGGAATTAGCCCGGCGATCGCCTCCCTAATAAACGGGACAGGTGTGACACCCATATATACAACCTGCTGCACTTCAAAATAGTACAATGTATTGCTGGCACTTATTTTCGAAAGTGCAGGATATTACTAAAAATATGAATAAAATAACTATTGTACCTTGAGTTCCGACTTGTCTCCAGAGATGATGTACCAAAACTCTGCGCACTGCGTTACCTTGCTGCTATAGGAAAGAATCTCACTAATGAGATCACCTTCATCTCCAAGTTTCTGCGCGTAGTTGCTGAAGAAAACGTATGAACCTGCAAGGATATAAATAAAATATTTGCATTAAACGGAGGGTCACATGAGCAGCATTGAAAGAATGTATGTATTAGAGTAACCATCCAATGGTTACTCTGATACATACAATCAGGTCAATACACTCGGATCAAAAAAGCTTTGTCAGGTTCATTTTGTATTTACAGTTTTAGAGGACGCACACAGTGAAATAGACTGCCTAAAAGAGAATTCATTGTGTAACGTTTGAAGTACTGGGCTTGTACAAACATTTTTCCATCCTAACATGCCACGGGGCCTCCTCAGGCTGCCTCAGCACCAAGTGCCAGTCATGAAATGCTACTTACAATATTTCTGTGACATGAAAGACAATTTTCGTCAACATCTCACGAAGAGTTTTCACCGAGCTGCACTTTCGCGATCGCTTGGCGCCGCTCAGTACTATTCCTTCTTGGAGCTAACCTTCGAAACTTGAATGGTTCGAAAAGGCGGGCAAATGTGCAGATTTTGTTTATTCTAATTTCAAACAATACTTGCAGATGTGGATTGAAAAGGAAGTCCCATTCTTCTTTTTCACTTCCTCCTCACCACTACATTGATGCGCTCTGGGCCCATTCAAGCGGTCGGTGTCGCCAATATATTTCGTACAAAGTCGAAATATATAACACCGCCCCACAAGTTACGCGTGCTCCGAATGAAAAAAAAGGAGGGCTGCTAACGATCGCTGCTTAAGCTCAGAAAGAGGGTGTCGGTCGTCACATTCGTGCAAAGCACTTGGAGGGAGCTCCGTGGATGCAGCTGCTACTGCGAACTTTGACCTGCCGAGCTTGGTCACCGGTGGTCCCACTCACTGTATCACTATAGAAGATCAGGTATAGCTCCATCGTATGAATTGTGTCCTTATCAATCAGCTTGTAATGACGTGACAGATTGGAAAAAGGTGGTTTCAGTCGCTACAACAACCACATTATTTTACGCCAGCGTTTTGCTTAGTTAGCCTAGGTAAAATGTTCAAGAAATGAGCAGCAGGCTGTATTACCGCGATAGCAAATATATGGACACTCTCCACTGGATTTCACTGCCAGCGTCAATGTCGAAGTCATGCGCCGTATATGTATACGCATCTATATATACGAAAACGCAAGAAAAAAAGTTCAGAAAAAAAAAAAACTCCAGCGCGCGGACTCTAAGATGAGAGCTCCGCTTCGTCAATGCGAGGCGTTAACCTCCGAGGGGTACCTCCTTAAAAGTTCAAACGGCAATGTATTTATATTTACCGCTGACCACTGTTGGCGGGCATATCTGGGGGGGGGGGGGGGTATCGGGCTTTCAGCATTATCAGCAAGATGGCGCATTGACCGCGCGGCAGCTCTGATCGTCCATGCGTAGTTTGGCCCTCGGAGAGGAGGGGAGTGGACGACTTCTCGCGCTCCCTTATCTCTTTGTGAGAAGGACTATACGTTTTGACTGGCGTTGGGTTTACACTGAGTTAAGCCACGCACAAAGGTCGATGCAATTGTTGCACAGCCTTCGTTTGCGAAAAGGTTGCGCTTTTCAGACCCAGCAAAGTAATAACTATGACGCTTATTCACGTTCATCTGTACCTGTGAGTAGGTTTCGTGCGTCATGAGTGCATGAGAAATGCGGGGCATGTTTCGATCTCCTTGCCAATCTGCGCGTGACCTTCCAATTCGTTGCTATCGCGTTTATTTCTTCGCCTTTGCGGCAAAGCTGTGATTTTTTTACATAGCATTGCACTTTGTTTTCGAAATGGTCGCTTCAGTGTGGAGATAAACTGTGATGTTTTTTTATGCAAGTAATGCCTTCAAGATATGTGGAAGATGTGGATCAACGCACCGTGCACTCGCTGTCGTTGGTTTCTGTTTTTCACCATATTTTTGGACTTAGCATGAACATGAAGCATCGATATTTACGGCTTTCGCATAAAATGATAAGTTAACCCTGCAGGTGAGCTTTATATTGTATCGAATAGGTGCGTATTTTTATTTATTTATTTACAGGTTACTGCTAGCCTGGGTGCCAGGCTTTGAGCAGGTGTGGGCGATACAAAAGAAGAAAACAGGATAACATACAAGCATAACAATACACTTCTAAGGGTACACTTTGAACCAGAAAAAAAAAAAAGATCATGCCGAATTCAACAGGGCATGAAGAAAGGATGAGACATCAGAACATTGCACAACATTAGCAGGTAACAGATTCCACTCATGACACGTACGGGGAAAAAAGGAGTTTTTGAATACGCTGCGCGGCATCAATATTTATCAATACATTTTTCCTTCAATATTCCTGTATTCTGCGCTCTACTGAGCGATGCGGTAGATATCAGTGCACCTAAAAAACAGGCCAACTTTGAGGGTTTAGGGACACAAAAAGCTCTGCGGGTCGCTTATTGTAAACAAAGGTCATGAAAACAACAAAAAAAGAGACATTTTTTCCCTATAATTGGTAAAAGGACATATTCGGGAGATTTAAGGCTCTGACCTAAATATCGCACACAAGTGTCTTTTGTGTCGGCGACGACGGCCACAGACGATGAGAATTTAGGAGTTAATGATGATCTTGAGCAGGTCGCGAAATAATCAAAGACACGAGTTTGGGACAGGGACACTAAAGGCGCATTTAGCTCTTGAATTTTGCCGCTACTTCTTGTTATATGCAGTCTTAAAAATTCCCCACATTCCCGTTTCAGTAACTACGAACTATGTTGCTGAGATTAAAGTGTCGTTTTTATTCGCTAAAAGGGGTCCCAGCATCATAATACTAATTGTTACTCCTAAATTAAAGCTCATCGATAATATTAGCTGTAGCATTACAGGGTTTCTTTGTTCTACTTGTCATGCATGTTTTCAAGTTGACATTTATTAAGTAGTTGCAGGAGTGCAGCAGTGTGTGAAAATAAACTTGGAGTTTGTATAGGTGCTCATTCAAAATACTTTTTAAAGACGCTTATTAAAGTGTCAGAGAAAGCAGCACAGATGTCTACATGACCTCCTCACTGGTATACCGGATTTTCAGTGCTTTATTGCTGCGCTATAAGCGGTCTATTATGCATATAAAAATATAGAAATAATGACTTGAATATAGACCTAACAATAATAACTATATGCGTGTGCACTATACGTCGGCAAACTCACTGATCAGCGGACTTACTGAGGCTCACTCCTGACCATACCTACGCATAAATATGAGCCTGATTGAAGTTTAGTATAAATAATGCAAGTGTGAATGCGCTCAGCTGATTATTATAATGGGTGAGCATTTATCCCTTCGCAGATATTCATTTACGAGTACATATGACTGAGTTTCATGCTAGTGTTGCTAAAACTGGTAAATGTGCTCGCGAACGCTGACGTTTCTCGGGGTGTGTTTGAGGATGCCATAAAACTCACTTTCAACTGTCTGAAAGTAATTAGATACAAATATCTATGGTCACACGTCCACTTATTGTATATCAAGGGATCATTTATGGCTACATCCGCATCTCCTCATTGCAAGGTCGTCAGTAGGTGGATGAGCGAGAGACAGTAGGACACAGGTGTCATTCGTATAAACATAATAAAAATGAAGTCACATATTTCACTTCTCGCGTATGCTTATCGACAGTCACTTCATACCTCTCACTCAGTCAGCGGCGGTCACTCTCGTACTTATTTACACCCTCTTAGTCATCTTACTCGCTGGATCGTTTCTCATGTCGAGTTCCTTTAAGTTGTTCTTCTCAACTGCATAGATTGGCAGATTCACTGCTACATCGACATAATCATACTCTCACCGGCTTGTGAATTGTAGCCTAGGTGAACTCTGCTTAGTAAAATTTATTATTTTATCGTTACGATTTCAGAACTGAAGCGAGTAACCTACTTCATCAGACAGTCTGCCAGGCATGAACAAAGTATGCGCGGGCAGAATCTGTTTGTTTGTTTAAATCGCGTTAAGAAATTTCTCGGAACATGCACGATTCATGTGTAGAAGGCTGGGCCATGTCCACACAAACCTTGAAGAAAGCCACAGAATCAGCCAACTCGTTTTTGTGGAACTAGATTGCAGCAGGTGTGTTGCTGGCACCTAGCCTAAACAGGCTGCCCGAGAGAAAAAAAAGAGCGCGAGGCTATCGCGCGTTCACTTTGACGCTTCGTTCTTGGAAGAAGCAAAGAACTTCCCCGAGGGCTACATGAAAAATAACGGCGTATCAATTGAATGAATGATGATGAGTAGGGCGAAGCTTCGAAGGGTTTTATCGGCAAACCGGGAATCATCCACTGTCCGCGTCTGTCTGTCCATGCGTCTGTCTGTCTGTCCATTCATCCATCCGTGCACCCATTCATCTGTCTGTCCGTTCGTCTGTATGTCCATCTGTCCGTACGTGTCTCCTATGTATGTATGTAGTATGTATGTATGTATGTATGTATGTATGTATGTAGTATGTATGTATGTATGTATGTATGTATGTATGTATGTATGTATGTATGTATGTATGTATGTATGTATGTATGTATGTAGTATGTATGTATGTATGTATGTATGTATGTATGTATGTATGTATGTATGACGTATGTTCGTCTCTCCATCCATCTGTCAGTACGTCTGTCCATCCGTCCATCTTGTGAACACTCCAAGTACCGTCATCTCGAATCATTTCATATATTTATCTTATACAAGAAGCGCCATTCAGCGGACATTCCAAGGAATAAAATGAGCGGTGGCTACTACATAAAGGATACGCGCACGACCAAAGCCTTAAAGAACTTCGTCACTAAAAGGGTGCCTGCAAGTTAAGGAGAAAAACGTGTACATTAGCTGAGTAAGCGTTGTGAATGAGCACTGCATCGAATTTTAGGGTCGCGTGTTTCCGACGCAAAGGCTAATTACTATAAATAACTTTTTGTAGCATCCTGGCTTATCCAAGAAGCCGCCGGTAACTTCAACTGGCCGCAAGGTGTGCTGCCGAATCGAGAGTCTCCCTCAACAGAATCTTGCACACTTGGACAATAGCGTGACA